GTTAACAATGAACTTGCATAACATAGTTTTGCTTTCTTTTCCCTTCTTAGTAATTTGGACATTTTCTGCCAATAGACTGTTTTACCTAAATGCACTCCCTAGCCAGTTTTGCATATTTCATTTGTTTCTTTGCCCACAAAATTAGAGGGTTGACGGAGAGACTGTAAAATCCCTTCCAGAGCCAACATTATGAAATTATACAAAGTAAACAAAACCAAGTAAAAGTAACAAGTATGATAATTTCAACACAAGGCCCACTATTGCTTTGACTAATTCAAGAAAGTTCTGGTTGTCAGTGGGCAGGCACATGGTGAAGGAGTTGGTCTGGGTTTATGCCCTCTCCTGTCTGCTCATCTTCCTTCTATTTCCAAGCCTCCTTTATTCTCTTTTTATGTCAGTTGCTCTTTTCTCCCCAACAGCTTAGTCCTTAGGTTCCTTGGACCCTGTGTTTCAGCTCCCATACCCTTAATGGTTCTCTCCTCCCTGCCCTCCTGCCATCAGACTTTCCCTGAAGAGCATCTGGGCGGGCTTTGTACCATAGAGCAGACTGAATTGCCCAGAATGCTCCTGAGGTGTGAATGACCTTTAATAATCTCAGGGGTGATCCACAACTGAATGAAACACTTCAATGCAAAGAGCTAAAGCTAATTGTGGGTATTTCAAAATTATGCTTGATCCAGTATGGATTTCTTTTCTTGTAGGGCAATTTCTAGGCCCATCCAATCATCCAAAGTGGCCTACTTGAGGCCAGCCCCTCAAATAGGGAATAGTGGCTCAAAGTGCGGTTCCTCAACCACCCTGACCTAACCTCATGGGTTGCTTGCTAAAACTGCAGCTGCCTGGGACTCACTAGACCTAGTAAATCAGAATTTCAGGTAGCTGGCAGGCAGTCTGAATTTAAAATATATTCCTCAGTGATTCTTAAGTTTACTAAATTGTAAGAACCTCTGCTTTGTGCTAATTATCCTCTAAAAATTTCATACCTTTTTTTGTTTGCTTTTTTAGTTATATCACAAAGAATTTTGTTTATAGGGATCTTTAACTTGTACAAGTATTAGATATTTGACTGAAGAATTTAGCAACAATAATTAGCAAATATTCTAGTCCTGTTATGTAAGCCACAGAGCTGTACTTTTTTGATCTGAAAAAATAAGAAAAGGTAAATTCTCTACCTTATGTCCCTCTCTTAAATGCTTCCATGTGAGGATTTACTCATAGCCAACACCAAGGATAAAACTGAAGGAGTGCCTTGCTTTTTTGAACATTGTGTATTTCCCTGTGTTTTTATCATTTAGAGAGAAACTGCATTTAGATAACTCTTGCATTAAATTTGGAAAGAAAGTTTTTTGTTTTTGTTTTTGTCTCTTATGCTAAGATGCAGTTCCCTGTATATGAACAATATCTATGTTGAATCAAGTCTTTCTATATTATATATCCCTACATATGCAGATATCTTTGCATATAAATCTATATATACACTACTCATATCATCATATTTTCTCCTATGTCCAGGGCATTATCCCAGGGACATCAACTGAGTTTTCTTGAGTTTTCACTGTTCTGTGGTGACTGTGGGGCCACTCAGAGTCGGGGTTAATGGTAGACCCAGGGCGGCATTCCCATCACTTTCTCTGAATGCTCTATATCCATCTTTGGGGAGGATAGACAGAACCCTATTGCAGGCTAATGTCCCTGCTGCACGGTCTGCAGCTGGAATGCTGGTTGCAGGTGCACTAACTGCTACCCACGTGCCGCTCATCTGCCTCTACTCTCCCCTCCTCCCCAAGCTCCACTCTCAGGCTGTGGAGGAAGACCACACTGTCTGCGCTATGGAAACGCAGTCCTCTGGGGTCAAAATCTCCCACTAAATGTGATTTCTCTACTTACAAAGGAAACAGGCAGCAGGACCAGCTTGGGTCTGCTTGGTCATCCCATCAAAAGGAAGTTCTTGGCCTCTTTTGCCCATGGCCTACAGGGTGTATCAGTCTCTGGGTGAGGGAAGAAGGGCTAGAAACATGTAGGGCACGAGTCCCCAGGTAAGGCACCACAGGCCACTGAAGCTGGGTGTGGCTGGAGTCACTCTCCATACAGATGGCGCCCAGTGGCCCATATGCCCCTTTCCTTAGGGCCTTCTGGAAGCCCAACTAAATATCCCCTCAGAGCTTGAAACCTTAAAAATTCTAGGTCCCCAAATGACTATGTTTTCCAAAATCCTGAGTTAAATTAATATTTGTGTAGCACTTTGCAGTTCTGAAGTGCTTTTCACTTACATAATTTTAAGTAATGAAATCCTCAAACACTCCCAAGTGTTTTTATTTTAAAGGGAGAAATCTGAGTTTCCATCAACTCAACCAGGACACAGGGCTCGATGAGCGGCTTTAAGGGTCTGTAGAATTATCAGTTAAAAGAAAGCTTGGTCCCCCTCCATCCAGCCAGACTCAAATAGCGCTTGCTCTGTCCTTTTCTTCCTGCGCTTATCACTCATCTTGCAGATCCTTAATTATTTACCTGTTTTATCTCACTTTCTAGATTTGAAGTTTTTTAGGGCAAGATCTCTATCAGATTTATCTTTGTGTTATTCACAGTGCCAGCGGATCTGGCAGGCCCCAAATTGGCCTTTGTTGAATGAATGAATGAAAGAATGAATGAATGAAATTGGATGAATAAATGATACCCATTTCCCATGAATCTTTTGGATTTTATTTGGCTTATGTGAAGGAAATCCCCCCCCCCGAAAGGAAGCTAAGCTAGAGACTTTATGAGGAGCACTGTCTTTCAGGATCCCCCCTCTCCAACAGCATAGGGACTGCGGACCGTCCCGCTTTGTAACTGATAAAAGACTAGGGAGTACTTTCTGAAAAATTCCTCTAAGGCTCCTAGTGGTTCATCTTTACTGACTCGTAAATTTTTAGCTTTTAAATATTAAACCAGCAATAAGCCAGAGCTTCCTTATCAATCACCACCCTTTCCTGTTTGTTTATACGAACTAGGAATTTAGGTTGCTGGTTCTTTTTTTTTTTTTTTTTTTTTTTTTGTCCTCTCCCAAGTGTGATAATCATGTAAAAGAATTTCAGGAACACATCGGGAATGAAATATATAAATAAGAAAAATGCACACACACACAACCAACTCATTTCTTCCCAGATATTATTCGACCAACCTCTCAGCCTTGATACAGACTTCGTAATAGATGTGTGTTTGTATATTGCTAGAGTAGACAGCGCAAACACGATTTGTACATATGAACGAATGTAAAACTAAATTTCAAGTTTTTCTTAACATAAAAAACGACACTAAGAAAATTATGTAAAATGAATATACCCTTGGAAGTAGGACCAGAGTTTCCTCAGCGTCAACACACTGAGATGGGTGAGTGTACGGGCAAGTGAAGATTCCTCGCCTAAAGGAGGAAAAAAACAACATCCCAGCTAGAGCCTGGGTTTGCCTGAGGGGGTGTGACTCACATTTTCGGATACTCTGAATAAAGGGGATCGCGTCAGCGCGAGGCATCCACGCCGGCTCCCGGCTCCCGGCACGCACAGCCCGCTCCCGGAGCCGCGCCGGGCG